TTTTGGTGGAGATCTGAACTCGATAACGAGTAACGCACGGCGATAAAACAGAGGCGAAGATACACGCGTGGTGATAGTGCGCGTGACCTCGGCAAAACGGGCTCAATGTTAGGCCGGTTGGGACTGTCTTCTGGGTCAAACTCCTCCTTTCTTGAGTCACCCCTCCCACACGCACACACACACACACACCTCTAGCGCGTGTTCTTTAACAGGAGGGCGACGGTTTTCGTGTGTGGTGCTCTCAGTGAAGCCAAAATAAAGTGAAAGAGTTACCAGGCGCTAATGACATACAATACCCGGATGTCCTCAGCGTGATAGGTGGGGGGGTGGGGTGGGGGTACGAGATTAATAATATGACAACAGAGTGAGAAAAAGAAAAATAGAATAAAGAAGGGAAAAAACCCGCCATCCCGGAGACTCCATCGCTACGGCACATCTCCTCTCGCAACAACAACGCAGTAATGCGCGTAGCAGACGATACGATACGGTGCGCCAGACGACGCGCAGTCAGTCGCTAGGCCTAACGCGCAGCGGCGCCAGGTTATAAAGTGCGCTTCGTATAAGAAGCGTGGCGAAAAACACACGCGGCGGCAAGCGGAGCGTCGTCCAGTCTAGCGCCTGAAATAGACGCTCCGCTGAACCGCTTCGCCCCGCTATGCAGGCAGCGGGCGCGCACTCCCGAAAATAAGCTTCGCCGGTGGAGAGAAGAACGTCAGCGAAGCAAACCCGGGGCCGACATCAACGTGTGCGCGAGCGCTGGCAACAAGCAGACGACGCCAGGTGACGTCATCACGGTGCCTCACCACCGCCACCTCGCTGACGCAACGCGGCAACAATTCGGGAGGCATCGCAATCGCCGCTACGTTGGAACACGGCGCCCCACTTTCGGCCATCGCGCTGGATAGAAGATGACCGGCTAGTTAAAAAAAAAAAAATAATAAGCCGTAAAACAAAGCCCGAGTCTTGATGGAGAAGTCAATGACTTCCTCGCTTTTTTTTTTCATCCACTCTCTCTCAAAGAGCGCGCTTCTAACAATAACCTGGTTCCGCAGAGCGAATGCGCGTCAACAACTCCCTGCCTGCTCTCCCGCTGAACTGCATGTTAGTGTCACGGGGGTCGACGAGCATTAAGAAACACAAATGACCGGTCGATACCGTGGCCCCAACTCATCCATTGACAGGGAGCTTGAACTATGTATAGCACAAGGGTTCCCAAGTGGGATAGCCAGTTCGTGAACGTCGCGGCAGGACTGCTAAATACAAGAGTGAAACGTTACGCACCACAAACAATGCCTGCGCTGCGTCCTGTATTTTGCGCACTTCGGACATGACGTTTACGTATAGCGTACATTTTACAGTTCGCGAGTGACACAATCTTCAGTCATTTACTGAACAGCACTAGAACACAAATAAAAATATTAAAGAAGAAAGATCTACATGAGAATATATTCGAAAAGAGTACAAATATCAAACAAACGCTATAATTACGAAACGGTGTTGATAAAAACAATTTGCCCGCAGGAAAACGCAAGGCAAGTTGAAAAGACCAAGTATTGAGGAGAGAAGTGCGAATGTTACAACGCAAAGCTCGAAAAAGAAGGAAAAAGGAACACCTCCTTCTCCCTCCCTCCCCCCTTCCACCCGTTTGAGGAATGCCCCGATAAGAAAGATAGCGATCAGGACTCAGAGTAAAGACAAGGTATCGAGGAGGCAAGCGGAGGGAGGGGGGGGGGGGCACAACAACAAATAGGCCGACAACATAAGAACAAACCAGGGGGACACCATGTCGGAACAATAATAATGCTCCAACAACACAACTTGCCCCGCCGCGGTGGTCTAGTGGCTAAGGTACTCGGATGCTGACCCACAGGGCGCGGGTTCAAATCCCGGCTGCGGCGGCTGCATTTCCGATGGAGGCGGAAATGTTGTAGGCCCGTGTGCTCAGACTTGGGTGCACGTTAAAAAACCCCAGGTGGTCTAAATTTCCGGAGCCCTCCACTACGGCGTCTCTCATAATCATATAGTGGTTTTGGGACGTTAAACCCCACATATCAATCAATCAATCGACAACACAACTTGCGTGCCACGTGCGCGCGGTGACGAACAGCTTAATTCCGTACAGTCAGCGCCTAAGTTCGCGGAACACACACAATGCCCAGAGGAAGATCTAGTTGGATACTTCCCCAGAACGCAAGGTAATAGGCATTGCAGTGTACATCTGCGAATGCGAACAACAGTACCGCAGGATTTTCGTCTAGCATACGTGAACTAAATATACCCGAATATTCACTCAGATTCCAAGATAAACATAGATTTTCGTGACAATAAATATACTTTAAACTACGTAACTAATGAAGCATAAAAAGAGAAGTAAGAGACGCCGACCACTATGAAATGGTTTGAAACATGGAGATGCCGCGGTTTGAGCACTGAGTCCTCGTTCATATAAAGATCACAATGAAAAAAAAAAAAAAGGAAAATATGCGGTAACATTGGCGAACACACACACACGCACGCACGCACACACACACACACACACACACACACACACACACACACACACACACACACACACACACACACACACACACACACACACAGGCGCGCGCGCGTATATGTAAAGGAGGGTAAAGAACCATTTGTTCTGAAAGAGAAACATATGGCTCACGAAACAAAGCGAGAAAAATAAGGAAAAGCGCCAGGTTATGCTTGCCGCGATAAACAACAAAGGCTGCGCGAATCTGCGAACTGATCAGCTGTGAATGTCGCGTCTAATGACAACCAAGCATTGCTCAGCATTTCGCAACATCGTCTGGAACGTGTACGCAGTGCTGGAAGCTTGAAAACTGGGTCCCAGACGACGGCTGCTTGTAAGATGGAAGTGTGGTAGTTTGGGTAGTTGGTATGACATGACGATGGTTACAGCGCGAGAACAGAACGACGACAAAGTGACAAGAAGGAGACGAGCGCTCGTCTCCTTCTCGTCCGTCTGTCGTCGTTCTATTCTCGCGCTATAACTATCGTCACGCTTGTAAGAGCCGCACAGAGACAATTCCGGTGACGCATCCCGGAAACAAAATCACGCGAAGGAAATAAAAGCGATTTTTTTCTCTTTCGATGCCGAGACCGGAAGTTGGCGAAGACGGATGTCGCGGCATAATCTCGTCCAGCAACAGCGTCGGCTGTCCTTGTCGAGGTGACCTTGCTAGATTCGAGCAAAGCTTTAGCTGACGTACATGTTGTTAGCAGGCGACACAGAGAAACCGGAGCAGACGACGACTCGACAGCAGTTTCGGTTTAGCGTTCGGCCACGTTGTGCCATCTGGTGGCAACTGAGGACATCCTTAAGAAACTGCGCGACAATCAAATGCTGATTTACTAACGCTTTCGCCAGCGCTCTCGCGATTGGTCTGAATCGCTCTTTCACTGAAGCAAGCGCACTCCCTTGCAAGCAACAGGGACCAGAGCAGCAAACAGGGGTTCGTTTTCCAAATCATTACAAGATAGTGTCGCCAGGAGCATATTGACCCATCTTGCACTACTCAACATGAATTAGCATAGCCATATGGGGTGTTTCAACCCCCCCGAAACCTGTACATTTCGTATGTGTACATGTACAGCACACATGCAAACACACGCACTACCGCAGATAATGATAGGCGCAACAAACGTTCTTGTCTTGTTAACATACTCTTTTGTACACGTTATATGTACTTTGAACTTTTTGCCTGACAACTTTATAAATGTAATACCTGTCAAAGTTTTATGTCCAGAAACTATGTTGTGATTATGAAGGACATGGTGGTGGAGGGCGCTGAAAATTTCGATCTGGTGTTTTTCAACGCGCACCTAAATATGAGTACGTGGGCCACGGTGGTCACGTTTTGCCTCCGTCGAAATGTGGCCATCGCAGCCGGGATTCACTCCAGTGGCCTTCGGACCAGAAGATGAGCACTGTAAGCACTATACCGAAATCACAGGTCTGTAGGTGCCAATTCAGTTGATGACTACCGTTCCTGCTACTTCTTCCCTGCCAAATCTTTAAGGTTCTCTTCTCACAGTGGAAAATGTTATGGTCAAATTCCAACTAACCCGACTTACGGCTTCATACACACAGAACAGTCTTCTTGAACAAAAACACATTGTTGCAACTACAACCATCACACGCGCATTGCTGCTTATCCACTTGCCATGGTAATAAAATAACTATTGTCTGAAGATGCAGTGCAATGAAGACCAAAGAAACAAAATGCAACATTAGAATGTCTGAGGCCACAAGCGTGAGTATTATGTAAATCCATGAACTAGTCGTCGTTTTTAAAGCAGCTGAACAGTCACAGAGAGACCATTCCATCTAGGAATTTTTTGTGGGGAACTCTACAGTGTTGGGCATGGTGTCAACTGTGCACAGCAGCATGTGCAAACGTAAAAGTTGATACAAGTAGACAGCCAGACAACAGACATTGGCCATACCAGTCCTGAAACATATAGAAATGCACACCAGTTGAAAAAGAAATTATGGAATGTGAGCTCGACTGGAAATGCGAATTTTCGCTCTATTAGTGCTTGACGCTCCTTCACTAAGAGGTGTATAGGTCGCTGAAACTACCACATTTACTCGATGGCAACGCGATGATTGTAACGCGAAAGGTGACCCTTTCCAGGAAGAAAAACATTAAACAAAATAAAACCACTGCACTTTTTAGACATACTGAATTTTGTTACTGGATTGTAACGCAAAGTCCGATTTCAGGTAGAGAAAATCAAAAAGAAGAGAGAACTCGAGTTACGCTTGAGTGAATGCAGTACTATATTTGGTTGCAAAAACAATGATCGTAACCGAAGAAAGAGTGTCAGCTCTGCATACAGCCATCAATCCACACGATCGAGTTGAAATTATGTTGACGTGACCCTAACTGATGACGGTGGACATGAACATATGCGTGTCACTTAGCTTTGAATTGTTCCATTTCAATCCCTGAGTACTGTACACGTAAATCTTGATTCTTAGACTCTTCAGGTGCCTAAAATTTATTAGTATACGTATATACATCTTCTTCTAAAGAAAAAACAAAATGCAATCATGGCGTACAATTACAACATCCTATGACGGTAGTTCACTTAGTCCTCCCCACCACACTTGGAAACACTTCTCTGTAGAAGTATGCCCAGCTTGCAAGCAGTGCGGGCAGCAAGAGGCCAATATTTTTTCGGTACCAGGCCCTGCAAGCATTAATGGGTGGTGTCGATAAGGCAAAGTTGACTTGGCAGACTTGAACATAACAGCCTGCACACGTCCCACACACACATAAGAGACAATGACACAGACTAGACCACAACCAAAACACAAGATGATTTGTTAGCAACATGTGTTTGTGCCTGTCCCCAAAAACTGAGATTTATTTCCAGCCGGCAAGTCTGTGAGGCGATCCAGAGCTAAGCATCGTCATGGCTGTGTAGTTTTTCTTTCTATTTGCTCTGCCCTCAATCATGTCTGCTTTCCGAAACCACCCTCGCCACTTTTTTACTCATCTTGCTAAATTTATGAATCAATTTTTGCATCCCCTGGATACAGCCACATCAAAGTTAAGGACAGCTGCACTGCCTGACTATGTGAAACTGCAAAGCCTTTTTTCAGACCCTACAATCATATTCACTAAGAGCATGAGTGCACGTAAAAACTTCTAAAAAAGAATCTCTCAATTTTAACAGCCACACGAAAAATATGCGCTGAAAATTCAAGCCTATACAGATGAAAGTAAATACACATTGTGTTTACCTACTTTCCATAGGAGGTTTACGCACAGAAGCCGCAAAGCGGGCACAGTGTGGCTTTCAGGCTATATGGTACTGGCATGCTAGGCAATGAAAGTATAAACCAGCTCTTCCGAGGCATTCTTTAAGCCCTCAGCACTAAATGATTGGTAGTCGAGATGCCTGAGGACACACCAGCCAAACTTCCTAGCGCAGCACGTGGCCTAGAATTTGCAATTCATTTATAAAGTGAGCTAGAAACCGCTACCTCTTCTTCCCACAAATGATGCCATACACCAAAATGACCGTGCCATATGCCGATTTCATGGCCACTTGGCTGATTTGAGCATCATGAAGTCGACTACTTAGCGAGGCCACCCCTGTAGCTCAGTTGGTTGGGCATCGGGACACGTTATTCAAAAGTCGCAGGTTCGGCCCTGCCAGCGACGAGCTATGTTTTCATCCACTTTTCTTTCTTCACAATTTCATTACAGCTATTGCTGATAACATTCCCTGTACTTTCTTGGTGTCACAGTCTTATAGTTCTGATTAATACTGGGTCTAAGAAAAAAATACAGGGCACTTAAATTTCCACATCTTTAATTCATTAGTAATGATGCTACGTTTTATGCCAAGAAACTGAATAAACTAAAGCTGAATAAAGCTATATAAGGCACATTAGTTCCTCGCAGCCAGCAAGGTGGAAGGTTCACGAAAGGAAAAAAAACTCTTCTATTTGTTCGTAGGCATGAAGCTCCAAAAAAAGTTATCCAGATATGTTTTTGAGAAAAAGGTTTCAAAGTTGATAAAAACTAACCCTAGTCAACAATTTTGTGTTTCTCTGAACATTAGTGCAGCAGGTGGATGCAGGTTTCATCCTTTATCAACCGACACTGTGTACACAGGCCCAATCACTCCATCTGCCCGAACACCTTCAGTTTCTCTCTGACCGTGAAGCTCTACTCACCAGTTGTACTGCATGTGCTTCTGGTGGTTGTCATTCAGGAAGGTCTTGTAGAAGGATGCCATGTCTTCAATGGGGACGCTATCTCTGGGACATCCCTGAGTCCTGTACTCGGCCAGCTTGCACCGAGTGAACTCTTCCTTTTTCTGTGGACGAGAAAGGAAACACATAAAAATTCTTATGTTTCCACCAGTCCCCCTTTTCCAGGAAGCACCAAGCAAGCTACACTTAGGGGGCATAACTCCCACCAGTGCCAGTGTACATGGGAAAACCAGATAATGCCACTAAAATAGCATGTGCCGACAAAGGCACATCAAATGACGGCACAGAGCACATCCATGTGAGCTGCTTGCAAGTTTCTTAAGACGTGGGTCATGAAAAAAAATTTCTTTTATTGGTTGGCTTTAAGGACCCCTGACAGCGGAAGCTTTATTTGCAAGTTTTTTAATGTAATTTGTAGCTTTGCATCTGGTAATGCCAAAATTGAATTGTAACTGCTCTAATGCAGTGTACAGTCAATGCTAGCATCATTAATTCAGAACCACTTTGTGTCAGTTTGGAACACCCGCCTAAATACCATCAAAAATTAGCGCCCCACAGCAGGGCAGTGCTTGAGCCTACGTGCCCTCAAGCTTTCAGTGATTCTGAACGAGCTGTTTTCAAGCAGGGGGACTTGCACGCGGTGATGAATCAAGCGATATGGTGCTTCGAGCACGTCTCTTGCGGAAAAAAGAAAAGGAGTCCTGGAGGAAGCAGCCAAAACCACCTTGAGAGCAGCCCGACAACGGAGCAAGAGAAGTGATGGACAATAGCCCTATCAAGTATTGTGCGCACCCCGCAAATGTTCTCCAAGGCCGACAATACTTGCTTAATCTCTGCAACGTCACGAAAGGGTCACCCCTCCTGTCTACGTCAAACAACTGGAAATACTGAATACACAGATGAGCATGTACCCTTACTTTAAAACCAAATGAAAATATCTTATAGGCAACTCTTGTCACTAATAATCAGCCAGAGGTGGCCCCACATGCAGGACTATGAAACAACACAAGCATCTGGCATTGCCGAATTGAGTTCCAGGGATCCTTTAGCTGAATAAAACTTATAAACTTATTCAGTTGTGTCTGAACATTCCAAATCTCCAAGCAGATTTTTATTATTTGCATTAGAACAAAAGATATGCAAATTCTGAGATCACATTTCATACGGTGGTCTTTGGCAATTTTAGTTCATCAAGCACAAGACGAATGAGGCAAAACTGCCAGACAGCCAGTCTAGCCGACGATGCTGTATCATCTGTTGTTTTAATTGAACTTTGAATGCAAAATAAACTAATGCAATTATTAGTAAAAAAATTTTTGCATCATGCACTTTATGATTATTGAGAATTATAATTTGGTATACAACATTATAAGAAAATAGGATCCCATCATTAGCTAGACTAGCTTTCTGACAAATTTTCCGGTACTTTGCTTTTGTGTTTGACAAAAAGAAGTTGCCAGAAATGCTCCTCATTCTGAGACAAACACCTTCCGGGATACAAATCAATTCGAGGCATTATCCAGAGATCCACAACTGCAGATATATGCAGCAGCTATTTACATCTGCAACACAGGAATTCTACCTTGTATTGTCACTGCATTGGGCGGCATGACATAGAAATGCTAAAACTAAGAGCTTCTCTGTCGTAAAGTTGTTGTGTTCACCGCCTTGCCGTGCCGAACTGATATGGAGAGTTGCAGCTAAACCACACCAGCCCGATACGACAAGACACTCTTGTTGAATTCCAATGGCAGATCCAGATCAACGTTTTCTGCTCCGAGTAGAGCACCCACATTCGAATGGCAGATTGGGAGTATGAATTGAGTTGAGACCAACCGCAGATTACAGATTGCTCCATGGAGCAAGCGTTTTTTTTCTACACCGAAATCTGGACTTGACCGGAAGTTCGTGCGATGTTTTGTGTGCGCCAACCTTTCATCCTGTCACAGCCGAATGTTCAAAGTCACAGGCAGCCATGTACAACCAGGAAAACGCTTTGCCCCCCCCTCGTGCCCTCTCGCTAGATTTCCACGTACCAACCACTCTCATACAGGCGCACGTGTTCCAAGTGCAGATTTGTCAAGAACAATCTCGCTCAGATCTACACGCTCTGTCGATGACTCGACTGAGCACTCGCGATCTGCCATTGAACTTCAACAACTGTTGATTATTAGTTCGCAATGACATGTATACATATGCATGCATCAACTGACGTGATAAGGTGTGTGCCTAGTGCCATCTAAGTTATACAAATGCGACTGTGGTATGCTGCACAAATTAATTTTGCTAAGGCTGGATTACTGTACAACAATTAAAAAAAAGCATTATTGGGGTCCTCTAACACCATTTAAGCACCCACTCTTTATTAGTAGATTGCATAAACTGATGGCTGGGAATAATTTTAGCACAGGTCAAAGCACCGATATAAATATATTTATCATTTTAATCATGTAATGCAATCAGTACATCACTGCTGCTCACATCAATTTGTAGTGGCGCTCATAACAACTATTGCAAGTGAAATGACGTAAAATAGCCCAGTCTTTTGATTGGATAAATGAAACAGAAGAAATTGAGTCAATGCATCAAGAAAGTGATTACTATCTGGTATTATCTGGTTTTCAATTGAGTGCTTTTCCAAGGAATGCCAAAAAGACATCACAAGGAATGCCAAAAATACAACAACAAAATAAAGACTACGGTGAAATACGACTGTTGTGCTGGCTGCTATTTTGCGTTAAAGGGCCCCTAAACCCCTTCTGATATTTTCCCAAGAATTTCAAGCAAACAAGCGCATTGCGTGCAGAATGCCGTCACAATTAACGATGCCACACGCTACAGCTAGCGGGTGCGCTACAATTTCGAAAAAATGATAACTTCTCCTTTCTGGTCCCCGCCATTGACATGTGTGACATCACCAGCGAAACTCAAGGACGTCACCGATTTTGATGCTTGCGATTAGCCGAACGACAGTCGACGACTTCCGGTCATTGCAAACAGCTGCTCACGCGCACCTTGCTGTTCTTAAGGTTGCACGACGGGCTTGTTGGTTATTCATGTTGTTCGAGGTATAGCGCATCCAGGACGAGACAGAGAAGAAGACACAGAACACATACACGGCGCTATTGCTGTTCTTGGTCGTGTTGCCGCTTGCGAATCGAGATATGCGGCCCGTAATGCAACCGCCAAGTCGCTAGCGTAGGGGCATGGGCCAGCACGACAGCACTAGCGGTTAGTCAACGATCAGTGCACCCGGATGACACACACAACACAGTTGACGGCAAGCTGGGGTGTCGGAGTGGCGAATCGCAACAACCGGAAGTAGACGCTGTCACGAACAGTGCGTCAGTGATGACGTATGCCACCAGAGATGAGGAGGGGCACTTAGCTGATTCAGCGAGGAGGGGCCAAGGGGTTTTGAAAGAGGGTATCGTAGGAAAGAGGGAAAGAAGCGATCGTCGCGTTTCGATCAAACGCGTGTAACTTCGCTATTACGGCACCGTTTCAAAAAATTCTCACGGCTACGTGTTTGTTGTATACTCGAGCACAACTTCCTCACCTCAACTGTATTTAGACTGCTGGGTGTTTAGGGGCCCTTTAAGCTTTTTGACAGTGCGGGTCGGACGATCATACAAAAAGCTTCTTTCCCATGCTCGCAAACATTTGCGAGCTCCCTTGTTTCGCACATGAGTTAGGGTATCACCCTAGAAGTTTAAGAAATGTTTGTTTGAACACAAACATAAATGACCAGTTTCATAAATAAAAAAGAAAAAATGGTGGAGTAGGCTGTGATTTGCGAGAACAAAAAATTGGGCACGTGACGTTTGTGGTTGCCACTGATCTCTCTAAAGTGTAGGTTTGTCGTCATTATGCAAAAGTTTCTTATCTTTGCTTGTGTATTCTTCTAAGCAGCTTCTCTTGTAGAACACTCGTGATTTTCAATACACTCAAAGGATGAAAGCCTTTCACCCCAATGCATTGTTTCTTGGAGCGAGGGAGGGTTCACCAACACAATGTTTGTTACTGTGGTAACAGCACGATTGCCACGCTGGATAGAACAGGCAACAATGACATGCACGCTTTCCCGCATAAGACCTTCCAGCCTACTGTGTTGTCAGCGCTTCGCACTGTCAGTGGCGAGTGAAATGTAGTTATGAGATCCCACGAAAATAGAGGTGAGGGTAGGCATTTCTTTTCTATTTTGAATTTTTTAGGCTGAGTGACTTGCGACTATGTGTCCCTGCTATTCTCATAGCGCTTATCTTTCCTACCTTCCGAACGCAACCCTGGAGTTAGAAATGGCGACACGACCATTCAGAGTTGGAGAGCCCCACTAAAGCTTACACCACGTTCCCCACAGTGATAACATGCAAATGCCGTACAAACGGAGTGGTGCCAGAACACTTTTACTGGGTGGCAAGGACACCTATGACAAGTCAGATCGGGTGGGGGTCAGGCAAAAATTATTCCAGGATCAAGAGGCTGTCCCCTTTCCCGCTAGCACCTTCAGTGTGTAAAAAACCTTCGTACAAGACATTCAAAATCACAGAGACAGCGTGCCAGCACAGGTTATCGTTTTGTTTAAAAGTCCCGAAAACATGCAGCGCGACAGTACCCGCTGAAATTCGGCATTGTGCTTGACCCAGTAGTCCTGGTTCCATGCCTGCACGGCTGCGTACTGCTCCCTAAGCGTAGCTCAGGCAGGTGACTCGTTCGGCAGAGCGGGCAGAACGACACGTCGCAGGTTGGACACTGGGTGCGGAGGGGACACGACTGTCGCCACAGTCGACAGCCTCTCCACGTCTTCAGGCCGAACGGTGTCCTTGGCCTTGCTCACCTTGACAGCACCCGTTTTGCTCTGCGAGTAAATTTGATAGTTCAGTAAAGTTGGTGGTGGGGTGTGTTAGTGACAGTTAATTTCAATGTGAGAGGCAGCACGTGGCGATACTACACAAAAGGAATAAACGATTAGACAGGAAAACGGTTGTAGCTGTCCTGTCACATCGCTTCTGTGCCTTGTTAACATGTGCTGCTTGACAAGTTAATATGAACAATGCGAGAACCCTGTCTCGATACATGATATGGTAAATGCATTAATTCGTCAGCTTAGAAACAGCCACAGCAAAAAGGCGACTTCAGTGAGGAATAAAACACACGATAAGACGACGAAGTATGTCACAGTGTTGGTGGTAGTGCGTTGTTTCTAATTCGCACGCGCAAAAAAAAAAAAAAAGAACAAAGTTACTTTTGATGCAGGTGCTGGTTTTCGATCCTAGCATAGCCGTCAGCTAATTTAGCACAACGCTCCTGCGGAGTAACCTGGACTGCTTTGACTCCTAGCCGCAAAGTGCTGGGCGCTGTTGCCGAGAAAATGCCTCGGTATGCTTGGATAGCATGTCGGCATGCGTGGGTAACGTCTGGGCAACAGAACCCAACGCTAAGTGGCGCTAAACTGCTTCAAGGCACGCTGCGGAGCATTCGTGTTAAGCTTGCTGACGACAACAACTACGTCTCGCATTACACGAGGAAAAAAAACAGGATCAACAGAAATTCACCAGCTTCATAAAGAAAGTGTAAGCAGTAGATGCATGAAATACATTGATCCACACGAGGCCGAAAGCATGAACGAAACGAGCCAAAAGAACAGCACACGGGAGTGAAATGAATGTAATGCAATGTATGAATGAAATGAACGTACCATGCAATGAAATATTCGCGTTTCTCCCTACGATCGCGCGTAGAACACGTGAGCAAATTTAACATGCCTGTTGTTCCGACTCACACAACGTACTATTGCCAGTCGTGATTAAGCTGTACCTCCGCGCTACAGTCAGTGTCACTGATGCGAAAGTGTATCAGCGCTCGCACATGTTCGATCCAACGGCCTGAAATCCTCGCGGGATTTCGTGCGGCAGTGGAAACATCGGTAATACAGCGAGTCAAGAACGATGGGCAACTTTTAGGAGCCGACCTCCCAGGGCTTCACAAAACGAGCTACCGAAAAAGAATGTCGAGCACGCTTAAAGGCATCATATATAAATTGAGATGCTACATCGTCTTACGTTCTTGGATAGGAGTTGAAGGGTCTTTTTTACGCCCTTCATGTTGCGCAACAACGAAGAGTTTTCGAGTCACATATCGCCGAGAACACGGCGGAGAACGAAGTTGCAGAGCGCAGCCATTTTGCCTTTTAAAAAGTGCGGTTAATTTTAACACGCAGTGTCGCATCTTAATAGGTCCGTTCGATTCGCCTGCACCACGTGAACCAGTTCACAAGGTGCTGCACCTTACCATTCGCTTCAGCGGTGCAGCATTGACAATCGCTGAACCCTGCCTTTCGTTTAGAAAGGTGCAGAAGAGGTGCAGCACCGGTTCACAATAGGTCCGTTCGATTCACCTGCACCGGTCGGAACCAATTCACGGCTGTGCACGCGAAGTTCAGAAATTGTGCAGCGTGAGTTCAGCGGTGCAGGCACAGCACGACACCCCAAACGAATGACGATGTGCCGACAAGGTGCAGGCCTTATTTCTTTTCGCTTAATTTACACCGTTCAGCAAACACTGACCGATGGCAAATCGAACATGCGGACAGTTTATGAGGCGCAAACATCTTGGCAAAACACACCGCATTTGTAGAGGCGGGTACGGCGCCTAAGCCACCTACGTCTAAGTGCTGCGTCGTCTGCTCAGCTGCACGCGCGCCTGCACCAAGCCGGCACCGTCAGCGAACGAGGTGCAGGAAAATCATGAACCGGTGCTGCACCTATCCTGCACCTTTCAAAACGAATGGCAGGGATCAGCGGTCGTCAATGCTGCACCGCTGAAACGAATGGCAAGGTGCAGCACCTCGTGAACTGGACGTGGTGCAGGCGAATCGAACGGACCTAATTTTCCTGCACCTCCTTCGCTGATGGTGCCGGCTTGGTGCAGGCGCGCTTGCAGCTGAGCAGACGACGCAGCACTTCAGACGTAGGTGGCTTAGGTGCCATACCCGCCTCTACAAATGCGGTGTGTTTTGCCAAGGTGTTTGCGCCTCATAAACTGTCCGCATGTGCGTTTCGCCATAGGTCGGTGTTTGCTGAGTGGTGTAAATTAACCGAAAAGATATAAGGCCAACACCTTGTCGGCACATCGTCATTTGTTTCGGGTGTCGTGCTGTACCTGCACCGCTGAACTCACACTGCACAATTTCTGAACTTCGCGTTCACAGCCATGAACCGGTTCCGACCGGTGCAGGTGAATCGAACGGACCTTATATTACGTTCACTAATACAAATATGTGTAAAAGTTATAAATTAACTAATAAAAAATTAAATATGTAACTTTTTATTTTTTTGTCGCAATATCGAAAAAATTCAACTGCGAAACTTCGGCTGTCATAATTGCTGGTCACAACCGCTGCAATGTCTGCGCCCGTGTTTTCGTCGCGTATGGCAGCTGTGAACACGTGTTGAACTGCGGTTTCTCCGCGAATGTACGCGAACGTTACCTGATCCGGTCTTTCTAGAACATCGAGCGCGAAAAACAGCCACAATGCCGAAGGTGAAAACCGAGCGTACGCGCCAGCACGAGGTGGTGCAGCGTCAGAACATCGCTTTCCGCACCGAGCTCGGTCAACACATCCTCAAGAACCCGTTGGTCATCAACGGCATGATCGAGAAGTCGGCCATCCGTCCCACCGACGTCGTCCTCGAAGTGGGTCCCGGCACCGGAAACATGACCGTCAAGCTGCTCGAGAAGGCCAAGAAGGTGATCGCCTGCGAAGTCGACGCTCGCCTGGTCGCCGAACTGCAGAAGCGCGTACAGGGAACGCACCTGCACAGTAAACTGCACATCATCGTGGGCGACGTGCTCAAATCGGAGCTTCCTTTCTTCGACATCTGCGTCGCCAATCTGCCCTATCAGATATCCTCGCCGTTCGTCTTCAAGTTGCTGCTGCACCGACCCTTCTTTAGGTAGCGTGAACAGAACGGCAAGGTTCCTTTTGGTGTTGCATAAGTTTGTTGCCAGACTTTGGGGTGGTTGTTGCCAGACTGCCAACAGAACTTCATCGTTCGCTCGCTGTCAGTAGCTGCGCATGTTTACATCACACGTTGCAGAGGACGTGTCTAGCGTAGCGGACGACGACAGCCAAACTTCCTGCAAGTGAGAACGAAAAAAACGTCGCACTGCGCATTGCTGACTTGCCTGTCGCAGTGCCCGTTTGCTCGAAATGCCAAACCGAGCATTTATTTGAGTCGTGAACTTCATGTATTGCAAGTAATGCGCAAAGAACGCACGTACAAATGGAGACCGCGAAACATGCGTCAACTTTAACAAATTGTAATTGATACTAAGCACGAGTACAATTACTATGCCTAAGATGCGCGCGTAAGCTCTTCAGTCTTTATCGCCGGAGTGCACCTTTGCAGTTGATGGCATTTGTCTGCCAGCCTTAGCTCCTTTTAAGACCAATCCTTACCGACTAGGTTGACCTGTCATTCTGAGTATGTAGTACGCAGGGAATAGTTTCGCTTCATTTAGTTAATCCGAACAAGTTTTCCCGCACACAACTCTTTGTCACAAGCACATCTGCTTCCTGTTGTTCGCGTTTGACTTTCAGTACATCGTACCAACTATGATGAATTATTTAATCTGGGCCTTTAGGTGGTAAAAAAATTCTGTGACACTTTCGAATTGCTAGGCTTCAGAAATGTTTGCAAAGATTGTAATGAGGTAGTGTGCAGCTGTAAAGACCATTTGTCAAACCTTAAACAAAACACCATTAAGCTAGCAAGGGTCTGCGCAAATGGGAAACTTTTGCTGCTTGCTTATTATTTTTTCCACTTGGTTTCCACCATAAACTTGGGCCGAACATTGTGCCAAGCTCACCTGATAAACGCTGTACCTTTGCAGTGTCTGCACCTCTCACACACAATCATTTTTTCAGGTGTGCTACCCTGATGTTCCAGCGAGAGTTTGCCCAGCGGCTCGTGGCCAAGCCAGGCGACAAACTGTACTGCCGGCTGTCGGTCAACACGCAACTTTTGGCCCGGGTTGACATTCTCATGAAGGTGGGCAAGAACAACTTCCGGCCGCCACCCAAGGTCGAGTCGAGCGTCGTGCGACTCGAGCCGCGAAATCCTCCGCCGGCCATCAACTTCATCGAGTGGGACGGTCTACTCCGCATCTGTTTCGTGCGGAAGAACAAAACCCTCAGCGCAGCATTCAAGCAGACTTCTGTCATGGCCATGCTTGAAAAGAACTACAGGGTCCACTGCTCGGTGGCTAACGAAGAACTACCGGAAGAATTCGACATGAAAGAAAAAGTGGACAATATTTTGTCACAGGGTGGGTACTCTGACAAGCGGGCCCGCATTATGGACACCGACGACTTCATGGCACTTCTCCACTTGTTCAACACCAATGGCATTCATTTCTCCTGAGGCTGGGTCAAGAAAAATTGTGCCATATAACGAACTTGGCCAGATTACAGTTACAGTTATGATAGCTTATTGCAATGTGCATGGGAAACAACAACAAACACTGAATTCCATTTGTCTATTCTTATGTTTCTGTGTCGGCCTTTTTGCTGATGCGAGCTGCCATGAACTATTGTGACTAAGCACCTTGCTCACTAATAGTAACGCCAGTGGAAGTGACTGCATCCTAAGGTGGGCTCGATCTAAGCCGCAAGCCGCGTCAATGCACTGCAAGTGTTGCGACTAATTTATCCTGTGAACAACCACCTCACCTTTACAGGCTTGGGTTTTGGCTGTGATGGCAGCAGTTAGGCTCAAATTCAGTGCAGAATGTTGATGGCAGTAGTTGAAACAAACCATTGTTTATATTACAATTATTTAATTATAGCCTGTAAGAAAACTCCCCATTATTTGTTCCGTTAAATAAAATGCAACTTCGATGTGCTTCTATAAAAATAAGCCTTTGCTTCCGTAGATTGTGTTGTAGAAACTAATTCTCACAATGCACTCTGGATATGTCCTTCTAGAATTCTTATACTGAAATGAAAGGTATGCAACACACTTTTCTTAAATTACGAATGAAAGCCAATTTCGTCGAAGCACCAGACAAATTTCACAAGAAACGACGCAATAAACCCATAAGACTTTACCCCATTGGCTATTTGGCCAGTGGCTATGGTCTTTTGATTAGGTGCGCAGTTTACAGTGCACTGCTCTGTAATAGAGAATTCAATACTTGTAACGGATGGATTCTGGTGGTTTGTTTTACGTCTCCGGGAAGACCCATTAAACCATGCAGCATAGCAGATGACAGCACGAGCCTTTGTAAGGCATTCAGACAGAATTTGGTTTCCCCAAAGTCATCCACAGCACACTCTAGTGGCACAGAAAGTGCCGACCACTAAGGTGCCTTGCATAAGAAGCTTCAACCCCTGAGCGCTGCACCAAGCAGTTGTGCTTGGTTGGTTAGAGATCTCATTTCACACAAATTCTGGAGCCAACGTCGTTGCTTGTGAGTGAAAATTTGAAATAAATGCAAATAAAGAAATAATAGAGAATGTTCAGATCGAGTGGTAATCTAACCCCCATGTGTGGCAAGCAGGTGTTCAACCACAATGCCACGGCTATGCTCGAAATTGCTTAAAAAAAAACCTATGCGAATTCTAGGGCTAGGAGTGTCATAAGACCCGCAGCCCACGTAAATATGTCTTCACACCACATCCCTTAAGTAGGTCCCTGAGTTGCGCAAGCACGCCTTATCTAAAATGTTTTCTTGTGGCACCCCATGTGTTGAAACATGACCATGAAACAAGAACTTATTTTAGAATCGACGTTTACATTGTCGTTTTGGAGATCAAGTATGGATGCGTTTTTGGAAATCCTGGCACCAAATCTCCTTCAGAAATAACCCGCGTATGAAATGGAAAAGGTTTTGTTTTCAGGTGGTAACCTTAGTTGACAATTTGTGCAATCCTGTAATTTGTAAAAAGGGGCACCAGAAACTTAAAAACAGGTGGTGCGAGTTTGAGGCATCAGATGTAATGCACGAAAAGTGCAAAGAGCCCAAAGTGTGTGACAAGTAGGCATTGTAGGAAAGTTTAAAAAGGCGCTTTTACAGGCACGCACACATTCTTTTCTTTGTAAGAATGGCACAGTGGGTGTGTTGGTTGAGCATGTTGGAAGTGTAAGGTGCGAGGACAACGAACAGGGCGGTAGTACACGCACACAAAGTGCCCAAATAAACATTCCTGGAAGTGTGGCACTCTGTGCGTGCGCACTTTCGTAGTAAAAGACAGCGCAAGAACAACGAAGAGACAGAACAGGACTAGCGCTGTTTCGTCTGTCAAATCTTTGTTCTTTTCGCGCAATTCGTTTTTCTATCTATGTGTACCAACATGCTCAAGTTCAGACGCTTCTATGTACCCGCCCTCTGTCTGTTGATGTCGCCGCACCTTACACTTTAAATGTTCCATTTCTTGCAGCATGGTTTACGTGCCCACCAAAAGGCGACACCAAGCTAGCTATTTTAGAAGGTGATGAGAGCGGGGTCAGACAACATTATTGCGTTCTACTCTTGAAGGCAAAGCGCCAGCCTCCTTCGAGTTCTTCATACAGCTCCTGGTATTCAATACATCAACCTTCAGCTGCATGCTTCTTTGCTAATAAGTCTACCTACTTAATGGGGCCCTATAAGCAGATTCGTCAACAGGCATTGTAAAATGCTACTCCAGAAATGTTTCAGAGGTTGAGAGACATCATATAAAGCGTTCACATACTTCCATACGCAATCTGAATCACCCACCACTTAAGTGAAGAGATGAATAAAGGAAAGGCAATTGATGAAGGGCTTGTTTTCTTCGTTATGCACAACCTTAATGAAAGACAACAGACAAAAATAAATCTGAGGAAAGCATAGAGGCATTCTTTGTAGTCTTCATCTGTAATGTGACAATTATGATATTAATGTAAAGAACTTGAAGTGGATGAAAAGACAACTTGCCGCTGGCGAAGACTGAACAGACAGGGTTCGGATAATGCGCCCGTACAGCAGCGGTCATCCTTTTGCCCACTTTATTGGTACTTATGCGCGTAAACCTGAAGGTATAAGTGCAGCTCGTAGCCATGACAGTGAGTGTGAAACATTCTTTTTTTGACACCTGGCGTTACGTAGCATGCAATCCTTTCACGAGCTGGCACCTGACCCATAATCCCTCTGCACACAAACTGAAGGCATTACGCCTGCCCTGAGGAGATGTTTCGTGGCACGTTCCATCTCTTAACTCGGCAGTAAAGGGTGGTGACGGAACGTGCAACGACACACGGTGTTGATATTTTTTTCCTAGGAACACAAAAGCGCAGCCGATGAGCAAGTGAACGACACTAAATGAACATGCCAGGTTCTTTTCATTGCAATCGAAGTTTTACGATCAAGGAAAGTAAATGCAGCGCTTCATGTTAATAAGCCAACACACCTTTCTTACCACCGGTACTCACTGAGGTGGTATTCAAAACATAGCAGCTTGGAGTTTCTAGCCAGTACTGCTACTAAATATGGCAGTTGCAGAATACAATACTTTTGAGATTACAGCACTCTCAGTAGACAGAAATCTGTTAAATGGAATTGCTGTCTCAATGGAACAACTGTCTCTGGTTTAGTAGTAGTATTGTGCACCCTTGTTCCATCTCCCTGGTAAACGAAACTACTCCTGCTGGAACATAGTATTTTCCTAGTCCCTCCAGGTTCCATTTAATGAGTCTACTGCAGTGGCTGTCACTTGGAGGAAACTGTCACTTCTATGCGAATCTGTGCACCACAGGGTGATGGTGTCTCTGAAAATCTAAAAGAAATGCCAAGCTACCATTTGATTTCGTGTATACTCTGCAACTGCAATGATCTCTTCATTGTGGGCGGCTGAGAGGCAGTGAGGTTTGTACTGAGGTGCGACAGCTGCGGACGAGCATGTACATTACTCGCAAATCAGAACGGGAAAATTTAGGTCCGAATAATGCACGTACAGTCCATGTCATATCAGCGTTATTTTTATACGAACACTAACATAGAAGTGAGCATTGTCTTTATCAGCCATACTTGCAGAGAGATGATGCAATTATCACGAGCAATTGCTCATAGCAGTTGTCATACTGGAGAGGGGGGGGATAAAAAGAATGTCCATGTTTCAATCCGACAGTGCTGGACCATAATGTCCTGCTGGAGTCTGAAAGCGTGGCCTTGTCTGAGGTGTGGCAGCTTGGGCTAGTTGGTACGGCAAGACGATAGTTATAGCGCAAGAACAAAACGACGACACAGAGACAAGAAGGACACGAAGAACACTCGTGTCCTTCTTGTCTCTGTGTCGTCGTTTTGTTCTCGCACTATAACTACTGTCTTGTCTGAGGGTCATGATATGTTAAAGCAGGACTGATAGTTGGGCTAGTTGGTGATACATTATGGGCAGTAACAGCGCACAAACTCACGGGACGAAGGAAAGAGACACAAACAAGCGCTATGATATGTTATTGCTGAAATGTGCCATTTTTACATTAGGCACATTTCAAGCAATAATCCATCAATGATGCCCAATGTTATTTGTCTTCAGTGTCCCCTCAAAACAGTGAATTGGCACAGACTCGCAGTTTTTGTTAGCTCTTTGACATGCCTAGCACACATTTAAGTTCACTTCATTGAAACATCATTGTAACAAGTTTACATCTTACACAAAATTTTCTTTGTTATAAGCGAAAATTCGTTATAAAGGTGTATTCCTAACACTATATTGCAAGACTATTCTCAATTTACTTCATTATAACTAATGTTTCGTTATATCAGGGTTGATTATATTGAGGTAGGGTGTAGTTGTGTCTGCTAGATGGGCCAGCAAGTGGCTAAAACGTTGAGGTTCACAGGAAATTAACATCCTGGATAATAAACGTTTCCTTTACCTTAACATAACTTCGTAGCGTACTGTTGCATTTATTCACTTCACTGAAGAAAAATGTTCACTAAAAATGGCACTACAATGTTCAACGTGAGCATAATGTTTTTTTCACTTGAAATGAACATAAGCAAAAACAAGTTAACACTATATATCTACTCTTAAGGTTTCACTCTATCTGAAAATAGAGAATGAATGATTTCAGGATAAATATTCTGCAAAAACTTGATTTGAATAGGAGTAATTACTAGAAAACACATAAAACAATATACAAAATTTTGTATTTCTTTACAATATACATTCAATACCTTTAAATAATATGCGAATTCAATGCATATAGGTACAGTGTGCATTCAGGCTCACAGTGCACACCCGAGAGGGTTAAACTGCCAAGGTAATTTCAAAGGCAGTTTCGTCCTGTAAATGCCCCTCCTCAATAGATTGTGCGTTTGCCAGCAGTGCAAAACAAATAGAACGACACAACAACCGGTTAACTTGATCACTGTCATACTCATTTATTACATAACTTGTGGATACACACCAACACGAATGTAGTCGGCAAGAACGAAAACGTGATAACAATAAAAAAAAGAAAGAAAGCCATAAGGCGCTTCACAGCTGTCGTGTTGCACCGCTTTCACAGAGTCGAGAGCGACGCATACAACTGAGAAGAAGAAATGCGTGTAAGGACAATGAAAACTAAAGACGCGGCAATTCATAATAGACAGTCCTTCACGTGCTTTTTCAGCTTAAGAGTTTTTTGCAGAAAGAAGCAGAGACAAAAAGCTTCCAAACATCGAAAACACACAACTAGTAGTTTCTTTCCTTCCTTTGTACACATTGTCAACCAGCCTTGTACAACCATTCTTCGTTCTTCGAAAACAGCGCTAACTTCCTTCCGGAAGTAACAGTCTACGAAAGCACAGCCTCAAAACAGTTCGTCGCACAAACAGTTAAAAGCTGAAACATACACACACTTTACACCCCAAGATGCAGCGAATAACGCGTCGCAAACGACGACTCAGGACGTCCGGCCGATTCTAGCGACTCTCGTTTTGACACTTGCAAAAACCACGGAAAAAGAACCCGAACGATGAACGACACGATACAAGGGGTAACATGAAACAAAAAGAAATGCCGAAGCTTCGCGAACGAGATGACCCTGCAATGAATCGTCCGCGAAAACGAAAGAATGCGAAGGGGGAAGGGTATAAACAAGCACCTTCGTTTCGGCAATTGTAACATCGGCCTATTCCTTCACTTTCATAGTAGTTCTCAACCCACTGTTTTGTAGCGTATTATGAAGTGGGAGAGAGGTGACCTCGCCGTATGGGGCTCGGTTCAGCCGTAATAAGCTCTCTAGGAAAAGAAAAAGCAGTATATGAAGACGATCGAGAGAGAGAGAGAGAAAAAAAAGGGTGGCATAAATACACTTCACTCCCCACATTCACGCATACAACGGGTAAAAAGGGAGGTATTTCGAGTGGATGCACCGACCTCCTCTCGGGATGTTTCGGGAAATGCAAGTTCATTGACAGAGAGGAAAAGCCGGCGGAGGACGTCAACCGCTGCCGACTAAATAGGACGGATGCCCGGCAACACTATTGAGTGGAATGCAACGTTGCGGCAGAGTACCGCGAAAGAAAACAGTTGGCACCGTAATAAGCTTTGCCACAAGCAGGTTCTCGAGAGGGGAGGGCACGCTAGGAATATGCGGGCACATAGCCCGGGGAACAAGATACTCGAAAGGTTGCGATAGAATTCTTTCTTTCCTCTGGACCAGTCTCAGGGCAGGCCTGTAAGAGGATATCGCCGCGACGGCCTCGTATGTACAAAAAAAGAGCGCTTGTAGTCAAACGTGCACGCTTAAGACACCCAACAACATGAATGTGATGCAGAAATGAAACGAAATGGCAGGCTACTAAAATTCGGGAGAAACATAAAAATGGGAGAGACAGCTAATAAAAAGGGAGCGCGACCGAAAAGCTATCTCTTACAAGACACTTTCCGGGGCGCATTTGCTGCAGCACATCCCTCGGCTTCTCTTGAACGAAAGAGGGTTTCTCTACCAACGTTGCACTATCATCTTGCAATTTCGCTCGAAACGCGTACGTCGCGACAATACCGCTCGACTTGGATTAAGGACGCTAAGCTCTTCCCGAAGACCGAGACTACTGCTTGTCGTTGCCGACACGGGCATTCAAGCACGGTTCCCTCAGCTGCCGGTGGCCTCGAAATGCACCGGCACGATAAAAATCCTGCGCACGAGAAAAAGCAAAGTTGCGCCACTAGAGGTGCACCTCGAAGGCCTTCACGGCATTAGGGGCCACGAACGGATTGGTCGCCACCGACCCTTTTTGGGCTGGTAGGGATGCCCACTCGGCATCGAAGGGGTCCTGGAGGGCAGAGCTCGTGGCGTCTCCTGACAGCGGGGGTGTGGCATTGCCCACGAGGGGTGGAGTCTGCGGCGGTTCCTTGGCCCAGTGGGAGGTGAAGAGCGAGGCAGAACGCGTCGGAGACACTAGTCCGTCGGCGGCGCTCAGCGACTGGCTGCGCAGCTGTGGAGCGCCAGCTCGACGGGGCAGGACGTGGGGCGGGGCCGCTATGGGCGCGGGGCTCTGTCGGGCGGGAGGCGGAGCCGGAGAAGAGGACTGGGTGGGCAGGGAGGCCAGCCAGGCATCGGCGCGAGAGGAGTCAGCCCAGGGGTTGCCTGAAATGTGTTGCACGCAATTATGAGAAAGCAAGACAGCACTGCCATAAATAAAGCTTCGGGCTGGGCCACTTGGCTCACCACTAAAACGTTGACGGGTGGCGCATGTAATGACAACAGTGGAAGCATAAGAAAACAGGACTGGCACAAACTTCCAACTAAGTAGGCTCTCAGTAAACGAAAAATCTCTTAAAACGGCTGCTTAAATAGAACAAGTGCTTCTGATGAGACCAGTTTCGTTCTTGTATTGTGCACCCCTGGTCATCTCTCAGTAAACAAAACTCCTGTTAAATTAAACATATTGTTACGTCTACGAGGGGTTTATTCGAAGCAGACGTAACGGTTGACTCGACGGTATACCGCAGTGAACGCACAGCAGCGAGCTTTTGCCACCAACTGAACGTCCTCTTCTTCTCCTACCACCATGTTCCCCGCTACACAGGTGCACATACCTAAATTACACACGTGGTAACACTTCCCTCCGCGCAGACGAAGCCCACTGGGCGAGTCAAACAGTCTCTCGAGGAATAAAGCGCTTCAAACGTGCAAAATGGACAAGTTCAGTTTTTGCAGACCGTCGGCCGTTTGAATGGAGACGCGCTATGCGGTAAACTAAATCACTGATACGGTCTACAACAAGATAAGGTCCCGCATAGTGCGCTAGCAGTTTCTCGCTCAAACCGCGTTTTCTAGTTGGTGTCCACAGCAACACTAGGTCGCCGCGATTGTACGTCACGTGTCGGCGTCGGCGGTCAAAATGTGCCTTCGAGCGGTCTTGCGAAGCAAGAGTGCGCAAATAAGCAAGGCGTCTAGCTTCTTCTGCCCGACAGATGATCTCGGATATGCAGGGATCATGGTGGTCCAAACACGGGAAAATGGTATTCAGGGTATGACGAGGTGGTCGAGCATATAGAAGAAAGAAAGGACTGTAGCCGGTAGTTTCATGCTGAGCGGTGTTGAATGCATATGTGATAAAGGGTAGAATACTGTCCCAGTCCTTGTGATAGGATGCAACATACATAGACAGAATGTTCGAGAGAGTTCTGTTCGTTCGTTCAGTTAGACCGTTCGTTTGGGGATGGTATGGCGTAGAGTGCCGAAACCTTGAAGCACAGACACGAAGCATCTCTTCCATCACGTCTGCTGTGAATTGTCGGCCATGGTCACTGATTACGATTTTGGGAGGTCCATGTCGAAGAATTACAAAACGTAGCATGAAGGAAGACACATCGGCTGCAGTTGCCGATGGTATGGCAGCTGTCTCGCAGTACCGTGTTAAATGGTCGGTGCAAACGACTATCCAGCGATTTCCATCAGAAGACCGGGGAAAGGGTTCAAGGAGGTCAATCCCGACTCGCTCGAATGGAGTTCTAGGGGGTGGCACCGGATGTAATCACCGTAAAGGAGCACTTGTTGGGCGCTTATGACGTTGACGCTCGTTACAGCTAGACACGTATTGTTCCGTCGTCTGGCGCATTTTGGGCCAGTAGAATTTTTCTTGAAGACGGCAAAGAGTTTTTGCTGTGCCTAGATGACCGGATGTTGGGTCATCATGCATAGCCTGCATGACATAAACGCGAAGACTCTTCGGAACCACCAGAAGATATCGTGAGCCGGTGTTCGTGTAGTTATTTTTGTAAACTAGCCCGTCTCGGATGCAGAAGCGCGTAGGCGATGATTTTGGTTTGGTAGCAAGAAGCTGTTGTATGGCGCTGTCCCTTTGTTGCTCATCCTTAAAGGTCTTGTTATTGGGAAATGGTTGGTCGAGTGATGCAATGTAGGTATCAAAGGTGTCCGCCATCACATTCCATCGTTGGAAGCGGTAGTCGCGAAAGACAATCTGCGCCAGCGTGACGTCGGCTGCTTTTATAGGAAACCGTGAAGTCATATTCTTGTAGACGAAGTGCCCAGAGGGCCAGCCGACCAGATGGGTCACGCAGGTTGACCAACCAGCAGAGAGAATGATGGTCTGTCACGACGGTAAAGGGGCGTCCGTACAGGTAGGACCAGAAGCGCTGCACTGCAAAGACTACTGCAAGGCATTCTTTGCTCTGTGACAGTGTAGTTACGCTCGGACTTGCTGAGCGAGCGACTTGCATACGCTACGACGTGTTCTTGATTATCCAAGCGTTGAACCAGGACCGCACCTACACCAATACCGCTGGCATCTGTGTGAATCTCAGTGGGAGCGGGAGGATTGAAGTGTCGAAGAATCGGATGGGACGTCAAAAGAAACTTCAACTCCGAAAAAGCAGACTCGCATTCCGGGGTCCAGTCCAACTGCGCACCTTTCTGAAGCAGACACGTGAGCGGGTATGCGATATTGGCAAAGCCAGGAATGAATTGGCGAAAGTATGAACAAAGCCCCAAAAAGCTGCGCAGTTCTTTCACCGAGTTTGGCTGCTTAAATGCCTCCACTGCGACCGTCTTGGCGGGATCCGGTCGTATGCCTTATTTGTTTACTAAGTGTCCAAGGACGAGTGTTTGGCGCTCTCCAAAACGACATTTCTTTGAGTTGAGCACCAAGCGTGCTTTGCTTAGGCAGTCCAGTACGAGGCCAAGGCGTGTGCTCACAAAAGGTGGGCCCAAAAATTACAACGTCGTCCAAGTAACACATACACACTTCCCACTTCAATCCACGCAGAATGTTGTCCATAACTCGCTCAAAAGTTGCGGGCACGTTGCAGAGTCCGAACAGCATCACATTGAATTCAAACAGTCCATCTGTTGTAACAAATGCCGTTTTCTCCTTGTCTTCCTCGTGCATTGGAATCTGCCAATAGCCTGACCTCAGATCCACAGACGAAAAGTAAGAGGCCGATGATAGACAGTCGATAGCATCATCAATCCGTGGGAGTGGGTATACGTCTTTTTCAGTGATGGCGTTGCTTGAGCATCTCGCAAACCTGTTCATTAATCACTGCGCGTTCCGAAGGCGATACACGATATAGTTTCTGTCAGAGAGGTCTGTGAGATATCGTGTCGATTCGGTGCTTTATACGAGAAGCAGGGAATGACTGTGAATCATGCTGAGCGAAATCAAAAATACCGGCATGTTTGCGCAGAATACTCGCCAGTTCATTACATTGCTTGGTGCTGAGTGACTTATCAATCATAGCCATAATGGTGGTGTCCTTGGCGTGCAGATTATCGCAACGGGTCTCATCCGGGGAATCATTGCTTTCTGCAAGGGTGGCAAGCGAGAATACTTGGTGTTCACGAATCTCTGCAAGTTTCAGACCCTTCGGCAGCACTGTAGGTTCATTAGAGCAGTTAATCACCCATAAACCAGTATGCCCTTGCGCAACCGATAATGTACTGTAGGGTATTAAAACTGTCTTCTTTATGCAACTGAGATGCACGGGCTCCACAGTTGCGTCAAATGTTTTCTCGCTTGCAGGTGAACAGGCAACAGGGACACATTTTGCAGACAACGGCGGCACAGTTGTGTCCACAGACACACAAAGAGCACTTTCTTGAGAGGGCGAGTTTTCCATAAACGAAACTGAGATATCAGAATCTACTGTAATTTGTCCTGTGCGGCAATCGACAGTAGCACCACATAGCTTCAATAAATCGAGTCCCAGAATGACGTCATGCGTAGTATGAGGGAGAACAGCAAACTCTGCGACAAAGTTCTGGCACGCCAAACTAACAGTCACAGTGCAGACACCAACAGGTTGTAACACCTCTCCACTCACTCCACGAAACGTATCAGGACGGTCCCAACGAAACATAACTTTTCGTCCAAGAAGGCGGGTGAAAACTAAACTTATCACTGACGCGCTTGCACCTGTGTCCACCAACGCCATCATTGGTACACCATCGATAAGCACTCGAACCGTATTTCTAAACATGGAAGCTAACGGAGGTATATCTGTTGAAATCGAAGACTGTTTGGCGACCTCACCTCCAACGGCCGCGCCAACTAGTTTTCCGTAGGAGGCGAGGAGTGGCGGCGCCGAGGAGACGGTGATCGGTTGGCGCGAGGGGCAGGTGATGGTGTCACACTGCGGTCAGAGGCCGGAGATTGGTTTCGTAGCGGTCCTGGGATCTCGTAAGACGCGCTTCCCGGGAATGTCGGTGCACGGGTAACGCCAGAACGGTTAAATCTCGGTGATCGGTCGTACCTTGGCGGCTGCCAGTAGTTGCAATACCTGGCAACACAGGTCCTTCGAAGCCACAGTTGTAGCAGACTGGTAGAGGACGCTCGCTGAACCAATGCTGAGACCGCTCAGCTGTGAAGGGTCGGTGACGAGCTTGCTGAGTGGGGGCTGCCCACCTCTGTGTGGCGGGGCCGTGCCGAAGGCGTTGGCCATATCGCTGGTCGGCCGCGAATGAGTCACGACGTGGCCGCGGATTTCCAGTTTCGCTGATGTCTGCCACACATACCGATGGTGGCAAAGGAGCTGATGGTGCCGCCGTGTAGTAGGGTGGATTGGTAGGTGGATGAGGAATGCTTTCGTCAACCCTACCACCTTGTCGCTGCAGCTCTTCACGCACAATTGCCCGAATAGTAGCGGCAAGGTCGGTGGGCGGGCTCACGTTGACACTGGCAACCGTTGTCACATTTGCCAGCCTACGAAATTTCGGGGCGATGCGACGAGTCTTCAGTTTTTCAAACGTGCGGCAGTGATGTTGGATGTCGGAGGCAGAGGTGAGGTCATCCCTGCCTATCAGAAAATTATAAACATCTTCCGCTATGCCTTTCAATAGGTGTCCGACCCTGTCTTCTTCAGACATCTGCGGGTTTATAATCTTGCAAATCTTAAGAACGTCCTCTATATAAGCAGTGCAGGTTTCTCCAGGAGTCTGGGCTCTTCCAGCAAGAGTCCGCTCTGCGCTTTTCTTTTTTGAGTCGAAGTCACCAAAACACTTCTTGAGTTCTTGAGCAAAAAGAGCCCATGTTGTCAAGGACTCTTCGTGGTTTTCATACCACATCAGTGCAGTGTCCGTGAGAAGCAGCGCGACGTTTTCCAGCTGATCGATAGAGTTCCAGTGGTTGTACCGCCTCACCCTTTTGTAGTGCGTTAGCCACGCGTCCACATCTTCTCCTGCCATTCCCGCGAACGGGCAGGGTTCCGTGTAGTGATGCCTAGGTGTAGCCAGTGTAGATTGGCGCGAAGTCGAGGTGGTTGATTTCTGACCTTCGCTCTGGGCCATGACGACCGTTGTCAGCAGCAGACCGGCAAGGCGACGGCTCCGGCGAACTCCGAACAGCTGTGGCTCCGTGGTACGTCGACGTGTCGTACCCAGCGCCTCCACCACTCTGTTACGTCTACGAGGGGTTTATTCGAAGCAGACGTAACGGTCGACTCGACGGTATACCGCAGTGAACGCGCAGCAGCGAGTTCTTGCCACCAACAGAACGTCCTCTTCTTCTCCTACCACCATGTTCCCCGCTACACAGGTGCACATACCTAAATTACACATGTGGTAACAATATTTACCCAGTACCTGACGATATGTCCAGTCATTACAAACGTAAACAGATGCCGTTCACATGTTCGAAACATTTCGCCGAAAAAATCATTTGAATCGAACTTTTGTATTATTGATAAACTTCGCAGCTACTGTGTTCGAATGTTAACCAGTGATTTCGTTAAGAATGCTTACTCCCTTGAGATCATGCTTACTCCCTTGACGCAAAACATTTGGGCTGTGCAGAGAATTCGTCACTCATCCATGAGAAGATTAAGTGTGACATCTTTGCCGTAAGCCCATTTTTAAATTTTTGCATACAAATAAAAACTGTTATAGGACATATTTTCTTTCCTATTCCAGAACAGCAATAAAGTGGAAATTTTTCATTCTGGTGGAATGAACCTAAAACCAAAATGTACACATTTTGACATCTTGGTTTTTTCACTGCAGCGGTCCAAACTGTATCGGAGATAAAATTCATGAATGCGTACGGCAGTTTCACTTAAGCTAGCATTGATATGTACGGAGTCACTCTAATGAAGTACTAATACAAAAAGCACACACAGTGGCACCTCTTTTCTGACACTCATGCCACGATGACTGCGCCATCAATGCGAAACAGATGACGATATGTGGAGTGTTAACAACCCAAAACCACGATATGATTACGAGAGACGCCGCAGTGGAGGGCTTTGGAAATTTCGATCACCTGGTTCTTCAACGTGAACCAAAATCTGAGCACACGGGCCCACAGCACTTCAGCCTCCATCGAAAATGCAGCGGCCACAGCCGGGATTCGATCCCGCGAGCTGCGGGTCAGCAGCCGAGGAGTACCTTAGCCACTAGACCGCTGCGGCGGGGCTATGTGAAACCGCATCTGAGCAAACTCACTCTGTTGCACGGGTGCCACGCCGGCTTGTGGCAGTGGCTGTTGTGGTGCATCCTTTTCCCGGAACGGGTCGTCCCTGGCTGAGTCGCTGAGCAGGGTGAGCCCCTGGCTCACCTGCTGGCACATGGCGCTGATGGTGTCGGGCCTCTCGCTCAGCGGAGAGGACTCGGGTATCGGAGGGGGCACTGTATGTGAGAAGAGGTCGTCGTTGAATGATAAAGTGAGCCAATGAGTCAGTTTATATTGATTTGCACATTGACAACTCCAATGTTTTTAGATGCTAAGCATCCTACAGCGGGGTTCAATTCGGTGTGCGGTGTTTATACGCTCGTTGCGCATAAGCGTCCCCTCTCTCTCTTCCCAGGCTCTTCCCCTCTCTCAGAGCATAATGCCTATGCAGGCAGTGTCTCCTAGCGAGTTTCTTGATCGAAAAAAAAAAAAAAAAAAAAAAAAACGACTGATCATGCTGCGCGACCGTTCACTGACCACCCCATGTATATAAGAACTGGATCTTCACCTCCAAGGCAGTGCCAGTGGGAGATTTCTCTTGTGCATCGTGGAACAAAAAAAAAATTTGCAACGTGTGCATTAACTAAAAGTGGACTGTGGCTCTGTGTGTACAATCGGAGTCTTCTGTCTCTCATTGCCTCATTAGCAGCGATTGGCATGTTCCAGTGGGAAACACCTCTCCATCACTGCATGCTTTGTACTTCCCCAGGTTTCTGTTATGTGCAACGCCCCGATAAGCGCCAGTGTCAACGTCGCCACTAGTGTAAGCGTTAGTGCCCACCGCTTCACATCCACACATGGTCCACTTTAGTGGGAGACGGTGTACGTTTTTAATTTCACAGCCATTGGTTCATTAACAAAAGATAAAATTAAAATCAATGAAGAGCATCATAAATTTCAAAATGTATGTTGTATTTTGGCAACACTGGCTGAATGAAATTTCCTGAAGTTTGGTATGCCAAGTCTATGGCACCCTTCGCGGACAATGTACTTAACTTTAACTGATTATGAAGTATATAAGAGCCAGTTGATGCTGTCAAAACCAATGACGTCACGGCGTATTGTGGGAGAATTTCAAAGAGGTGTCCAGTATATAAGAGCCAGTTGATGCTGTCAAAACCAATGACGTCACGGCATATTGTGGGAGGATTTCAAAGAGGTAGCCATGCACATTTTTTTTTTGCATATTTTCTGGCTTTCCGAATGCCATTACACAGCAACTGTGGTGATTTTTCAAACTGTAAAAGAGTAATTTATTAATGCAAGAAAAATTGTTCGTCTCTTCAGTGCCTTTCAGTGTCTCTTCAGAGTTGCTCAGAGAGCACGGCAGCCCAAAAGAACTAACCTAATGCGACGCACATTGTCAGAGTGCTCAAAACAGCCAGACGAATACACAAGTACTTAAAGGATTTGCAGATTTGTCAACATGCAATGTACAAGTGCCGAGATGTGCAGGTTATCCAGAAAAAAAATTAGGTTTTTGCTCAAGGTATACAGTCACCAATAGAACGGAAAGAAAAATACAGTCTCACGAAAAACAGAGCGAAAAATGACACCATGTACAACTAAGGGGAACCATTAGTAGCGTGTGAAGCTGTGCGTGGGTCTACTTGAAGTCCCGTTCATACCAGCACCTTGCCCGATATTAATGCGTCCTCTCAAGGGGAGCACACCCATGAACTCACAGTGCTTTCTGTTGCTGTTACTCGTCCCAAACTCTTGTTGGAGCGCACCACACGTGTTCATCGTCACGTTGCACGGCAACACGCGCGTCTGCAGGATCTCGTTTCCCTTGACGCCATCACGACATTGTTGAGAGAGCAAATGGGGGGAAAGGCCACAGCTCCTTACACAGCAACTTATGCTGTCCAAAACGTGCTAGCGCGTTTTGGCAGTGCTTGGGCCGCCTGTTGCGCATGCGGAGATGGGTGGTCATGCGACACCCCTGATTTAACTCTGCCATAAGCTGCTTCACATCTAAAAGGCATGCAGGGCCATTGAAAAATGACAATGGCAAAATGTTGAATCGAGCCATTGCCTCAACGCTGCCAGCTACGAAACTCAATATACATCCTCAAAGGATAGAACCACATTTCAATTTTCTTGTGCTCTTTTTTTTTTTGCCAAGATCCTTGCCTACGTGAGGAAGAAAAAAACATGGCTCTTGGCAGAGAAAAATGATTAAATTCAGCGATCTCTGTGTACTACGTGCATAAATGGCTGCTGTCCATCAACACCATGAAATTTTAGAAATTAGGAACCGTATTTATTTATTCCTGCCCCTTTCTTGCATTTCAAGCATTACTATCCCTCCCCCACCCCTCGAAAAAAAAAAGGAAAATAGAAAATGGAGCCCTTAACAACTACTACTGCTGGTAATATAATAATCACATGACACATCATCAATGCTTTTCAAGTGAAGCTTTTATAACACACGTTTTGGTTATGGCACCAAACAGAAAGCCTGGTCCAGTGCCCGTTCTTGTGTTCTCTTCTTTTGTGTCCTGTGTTTTTCGCACCGTCCTTAACTAAGGAAGCCTGGTGCCTGCTACGAACAGAAATGCGGCCCTTGAAGGTGCATTTATCACACGCGTATTTGTACGAGCTGTTTTGCAATAACTGATGCTCTTTCTACTGTGGGCTCGTAGGCTGATCAGCCGTTTCCGACACTGCAATCTGATCTGTCATCAAGGTTACTTGTCGTCTCTCATTGCCAAATTTCATTGCTGCCTGGATATGAATGCATGATTGTCATTGTTGCCTGTAGCAAGTGAAGTGTTACAGTGAGGATGTGAATGAAGATGTGATGCACGGCATGAAGCAAGGAAGCAGTTAGGAAGCAGCAATTAGCAATGCAGCGTATAAAAAGAAAGAAAGAGAAATACGCTCAGACCTTACCATAATAAGTTGCATAATAAACAAAAATAGGTTCATTATACCCAAGATTTCATTATAAAGGCATATTTCTAATACCATATCTATCGCAAAACTATTTTTCATTTACTTCATTATAACCGATATTTTGTTATATCTAAGTTTGACATATCTTGGCTAGAGTGAAGTACATCAGGCATGCAGATGCAAAGCATTCCTTTCCCCCACTGTTCCAATAAGACACCTGAATTCTTTCACCCTTTCACGATGAATCTATTTTGGAAGGCTGAACTACATCAATGAAGCGCAGAAGGTTGGCGACAATGACAACAACAGCAGCAACACATCAACAAGAAAAATAAGCACAAAATGTTGACAACAAAGAGAAAGCTCACCGTTGGTGAATCCGTTGTGTCGTGCAGTGGGTGGCTGGAAGAGGTCGGTGGTGGCGGCGTCGAGGGACATGGCGCGCTGTCGCTCAAGCGTCGAGGGCAGCTCGTTGAGCCGCAGGGACAGCTGTCTCTTGAAGGGCGACGCCTGGCTCAGGCTGCCCAGGCCCCGGAAGGAACCCTGCCTCTGCAGCAGCGTCACTGTCGCGTGCGGCCGCTCGATCGCGTACGGGTTCACCACTGCCTTCACTGGTGGTGTTTCTGCATCATGGATGATCCATCTTGTTTCAACAGTACTATATAAGCGACTTCTTCCATTGCATGTCATGTATATGTGCAGCCCTTGCAGATTTAAATGCAACAATTTAAGGCGAAGTAATGAACATATCTTTGCTTCCACCATCTTTAGTTTGTGTCGCATCAGCATAATATTGGCTCAAAGACAGCTGAAATTACCTCTAGTAGCCACATTTGTAGTGACACGACACGTTTATCTCAACTCACTGTACATCATCGTCGTAAACCTGACTTCCGCCAATGCAGGGAAGAGGCCTCTCCCACGTTTTGCCAATTAAAGGGGCACTAAAGGTAAATAAATATTAAGTCGAGGTCGATGGTTGAAATAGCGATCCAGAAACCTTGTAATGCTAGTTTTGTGCGAAGGAAATGCTTATATTGAAATAAAATCACATTTTAATGGTGCACATCGTGTTAGCGCACTTCAAATCGCCTGCGCCTAAAAACAGACTTTTAGCCCGTATTCTAGAGCGCTCCTTCACTCAACGCTCCACCTTCACTTGAGAAAGCCGATGGGAGTGTCAACTCTAGGCAGGAAAAGTCACTGCATATCAGTGATAATTTGCTGCTATTCTTGAGTAGCGCAGCGTCATTTTCAGTCGAGCAGCAGCGCAGTGCGCAGCTCGGTCAAGTGAAGGGTGAAAGTCGAGTCGAGGAGCGTTTGTGAATACGGGGGTTAGACGTCACTGTTTCCGTGCCCATCGTTGCCCGCCTTTACTATGCGGCCGCTGACACCAGTAACAGAAGAGCGAAAGTAGTGGGAGCCACAGTAGCAACAACGGCCAATGAACAATTTTCTGCGGTCTCTGAGGTGATCGTTCTGGTTTCTTGGTTGAACTGGGCCCCGCTAGATGGCACTGTACTTTAGAACTACTCGCGCCATTCTCCATAGTAACGCTAGGCAGTTCTTTTTCTATAAATCAAACAGAAACCGACAAGCAGCATTTTATTACGTCTATTGATGCATGGAAAGTTAATGTTTTTATTGCACCTAGGTCTATTACTAGTGATTAATTGCATGCGGACACTCTCACCCCGTCTCGGGATCATTTTGCAAATGCTCCACTCATGGCGCACGTCGTGTGATACAGTTAGCTTAATTTCTTGGTAAGGAAGGCACTGCTGTTAATAATATTGCCATTTTAGATGTTGCTATACACTGAGCTTTCACTTTGACATAAATTTTCGTGTGCTTTTAGTGTCCCTTTAACCCATTTTCGAGCCTGGTACGGCCACGTTATCGCCACTAACTTCTTAATTTCATCTGTCCATTTTACTTTCTGCCTCCTCTTCACGGGCTTGCCTTCTCTTGGAATCGAGTGTGTTACTTTTAATGACCTACCCTTATCTTGCCTTTTCACTACATGCCCTGCTCACACCCATTTCTTTTTGATTTAGACTGAGATATCCCTAACATTTATCTACTTAAGGAAGTAGTGACCGCAGATACGAACAAAGAGAGTGAAGTAACTAGAATAAGAATGTGGTGATGCACAGTCAGCAGGCGATTGCAGATCACAAATCGCAGTCTACCGGTACGCTTAAAGAGGAATGTATTTAACCACTGCATCTTACCTATGAGGCAGAAACCTGGAGGATTAGAAAAAGGGTTCCATTTAGAATGAGTACAAAGAAGGAAACCTTACAGGTGTCACCTTAAGGGATGAGAAGAGAGCAACATCGATCAGGGAACAGCTGCACATACCAGTCGTTACACTTAATGTTTTTAACACATACAGCACGTGATACTTCTGCCATGTGTGTGGGCCCTGAGGCACCCTCAAGCTGTGGTCTGAAACTACTTTTTGTCCTGTGAACTATCATTTCCAAGAAAATAAAGGATCGAGTCTGCTTTTTGTGCCAATGTAATACTTCAGAAGAGCCAGTCTACAATGACGCGCAAGTGGTATCTGAAATCGCAAGCAATCCTAGTGCTGGCCACGAAATTAGTGTATCTAGGACGAACGGCAACATCACTGTGTCAAGCTATAATAAAAAGCCCTACAAAGACAGCATGCCACAGAAGTGGCTCATCGCTTTCATTTCTGGCAGCTCTTCAAATGTTTGCATGCTCTTCATCGTGATGGTCATATGCTATAGGCCAAAGCAAAGGAAGAAGCCAAGGGAAGTCGTGTTTTGGTTGTGGCCTCTTTGTGAGGACGCTCCCCCCACTGTTCTGCTCTTCCGTACTTTGCTACATACGAGTTCCAATCACTGAAAAATAATCTGGCCTAGCACTTCAGAGGTTTACATTTTTGTAGGATAAAAACATACACGCCCGGCTAACTCGAGACCTGTATTTCCCAATAACTGTCATGCAGTAAATGGCTTCCTTCGGTTTATGGATGACCCTCCCTGATCGGTCGTCCAGCGCACAATCGGTCGTCCAGTGCACGGTTACAGCTGCGCAAGGGCAACATCGAGCAGAGAGCTGGAACAGCATCTTCTTTTTTTTTTTTCGTTTTTATACTGATAGTTACTGCGTACGACTGTTTGTGACCAACCACTTTTGCAACTCAGATGTGACAGAACATTTCTTACCAACTTTGCAGCACGACCCCAGGAATGTACCCCCCCTACTCTAGCACTTCCAAAAGGTGGTTGGTGTACGGCACTGATGAAAGAGTGTGAAATGCCAGTACCTGAAGGTTTTCCCTCCTGGGGGTCGTGGGGCAGGACAGGGTCGGTGAGGGAGCCTTGCCGGAAGGAGCCCGTGCGAGTGAAGCTCGACGTCTTCGGGTCGATGCTCATGAGGACGCTCTCCTTGTCACGCTTCTGCTTGCGCTCCAGGCACACCGCAAAGGCACAGCCCACAGCGTGGCTCAACCGCTCCCCCTGCGTTGTGCAGTGAAACGACGTTGCTGCTTTTCGTCACCAGGCACAGCTGCACCCACAATGCTTCGCCCAACATGGGCATCACACACGCAGTATTTCTTGACATATCGGGCATCGCATGCCAAGCTTGTGTCACCATTATGGTTCTTGCCTCCTCTGGTTTCTTTTTTCCCCACCTTTACACATTTTAGTGGCTTTCTTAAAGTGTAACCACTTATCAACTTTCCCAACAAGTACCCCCCTGTACAGAGGTGGAGGAGTACTGACCGAGTCCTTGAGGGCCAAGAATCCGTGGCACATCCATCGTCGTGTGGTGCCATCGCGGCAGATATACGAGAAGCCGCGGTCGTGGTTGCGGTCGGGCGCGCAGAACGACACCTTCTCGATGGTCTGGTCGACCAGCAGGCCCCGGGTGCCCGTCTCGTCCACCACCCGGAGGCCGTCGCCCGTCACGTGCAGTGTACCCCGCACCATGCGCCGCCGGCTGTTGCGCAAAACTTTCAGGGCCTCTTCACACACCTGCAATTAAATGGAAACGAGGGAGGGGTCTTCGTCATGCGGCACATTTGATGTAGTTGCCGAGATAGACTAGAGTGTCTGAAGGCATATTTGCCATTAATAGGATGCACACAGAAGAACACAACCACGGCATGGGTCGGGCAGCACTAGTACTAATTGCATTTGTCTGTGTACAAATACAGAGAACAGTATAGTAAATATAGCGCATGCATCTAAAACCAGAGACATATCAGCAATGCACCAATAGCTCAAGAAGTCTGATCTCTGAAGCTCTTAATTTTGAGAAGATGGGTGAAGTGCGCAATAGGCAAACCATTATTATAACTGGACTCTTCGGCGATTACATTCCTTGAGAATTGGTTGTGCTGTTAGATATGTTTGTTGTTTAAGTGTGTAAGTGTGTGCAATACTTTTCGGTACACAATAAAAGCTCGTTAGGTCGTACTTGGTGATTGATTTCAACGTAAGGTTAATTTGAACTGATGCCCTGGTCCAGGCAAAGCCCCGTGTACTTCTATGGGGGGGGGGGGGGGGGGGGGGGAGAGGGGACTTTCGACTTTGAACACGTCAGTATCCACAACGACAAATTCGAACTGGGAGCCCCCTGGCTTCATCACTCCAAGGAGAAGTTGGCTTACAGTGATTAAGATGTGTTGCAAAACCAAAACAAATCAGATTCGCTAGAGATACAAAACAAAATAGCGGCAAAAAGCCCTCTTGCTGGATGACAGCTCTCCCACTCCTGTTCGACCCCTGGAACATGCCAGATCTGAATAGAGCACTTTCAGCGTGCTTTCGAGGGACCCCTGTTCGCCCAATGGAACAGTGCAATAAATACAGACGGGAAACAGCACTCTGTCGAGAAAACCCCTTTTAATTCCATTGGATGAGATAGAAGCACTTTCTGTTGAATAGCAACACCTGTACAATTGTTCTGTACAGCCGTCACTTTCGCTAAAGGGGTCACACAAGTGGATGGCACATAGCCATGCACCAGATGTGTTGCGGCACAGTGTCGACATATGTAAATAATGGTCAGAGTGGTGCTGTTCCTTGTACTGTCGACACTCCCATTGCGAATATGTTTGTCTTTCTTATGCTTTAATTTTCACATCTATCTTGTATTGATACATCTGAGCAAATAATGGCTGCTTTCAATGACGACTGTTTTTATCACAGCTTCGAAGGCAAATTGAGGGCAAATTAAAAGCTCACATTTGGTAAGAGGGGTGCCTCTTAAGAAACGACTGGTACCACTGGCACCCTTTTCGCTTCACATCTTGTGGCACAGCACCACATGTGGGTTTCAAGGCTATGAAGCATGCGTACCTGTGTTCTCTTTCATAATAATGAAAGATACATGTACTTTCTTTGTTTGCACAAAATGTTGCGAATGGTTGCGTTCAAATAGCTACGAAGCAACTGTTCTAACCAATTTCTGCTCATTTTATTATTTTTTTTTTTCCAGTCATGCGTCTGCAGCAACAAGCCTCTAAACCAGGAACAGGATGTTGATTCGTACAGGAATGTGCAGGAACAAGACATCAACTTATTTTAGGGGGCAGCGGCAATGCGATCTCAAGAGTTCATCATCAGCTGTTTTGAGTTTCTCTTTGGCTACCAGGCGAAAATGGTTGCCCGTCAAAATGGTTGCGAATGAGAATGAAACTTGACTAACAATGAGCCTTATACCCGTGCCACACGGGCAGAGAAAATGGCATTTACCCCCGAATGCCTTCAGATTTATTACCATTCGCACGGTGCCACACGGGCAAATGAAATGGCATTCGTCCGAATGCCATTCGCACCAAATGCCTTCACCAGAACTCAGTTGACTGAGGAATGCCTACTCTCAACAACACAGCTCGCGAAGAGTGATTTGCCTCAAAGTAAATAAAACAAATCATATTCAGCTAAAATTAAATTTTCCCGTCTTTTATTTGCACTAAACTCTTAAAAAGTGCTTTGAACGTTATACGAAGATCAGGTTGAAATGGTTTGAAATTAATTGAAGTTCAATGTCCTGAAGCTGGCGCATAATAACTCGTCTCTGCTCCAGAAGTATTCGCTCTTGAGCATTGATGCTTTGCACTGAAACACACAAGTGCTGCCGTGAAAAAATGAACTCTGCGAACATCTTCTGAGAGATGCGACAGGTGCGATGCGACAGGCGCCATTTTCTATTTACACTGTGGATCTGACTAGTGTTGGCTTAGGTAGCTACGGTTGGCTGCAACATCGTAAAACAAAGCAAGAAACTAAAATTAGGGCAGCGTGATATGCTTATTCCTACATTTAATGATTATCTGATGTGTATGAGGCTTGTAAACGCTTGTTTATTTTTTATTGCTATTCACCCAATGCTCACTTGTAAGGTGCTGCGATCGACATCATCAAGTCAAATGTCATTCACTTTGGAACGCGTAGCAGTGCCGCCAAAAAAAATGTCATTCAGGAACTGAAGGCCTTCGCCACCGAATGTCATTTTCTATGCCCGTGTGGCACGGGTATTGATTTGAGAAGGAGCCTTAAGCTCATCATCATTCTTGAATACAAGCCTTAAATCTAGCTTAATTCAACAACAAGGCGATAATAAGCATGACTTTGAGAAATTGAAAGATGTAGTACCTGCATGCCACGAGACTCAAAGACTTCGACACAGCCGAGGTATTTGACCGGGAAGGTGCAAGTTCCAGCCCGGACAGCCGCCTCGTCCGCCTGCCACTGGTGTGGCTTGCTGCATTCAGGCACGTGCTCCCGACGTGCACCGCGCCGAAGGCTGTCTCGCAGGCTCCGTCGTAAACGGTCCATGCCTGCACCAAAAAGAAAAAGAACAACAGCTTTTGAGTCCTGTGTGGTAGCCACGTTACCGCTGCTATTTCGAATGCTAAAATTAGTACAGCCTGAATAACACTTGCTTGGAGCAGTCGAGTGTGAGGCAGTGGACGCTGGCACTGTCCAGAGCCACTGACTCATGCTAGCTACAAGTTTGGATTTGCAGTTGAATTAGGACCCAAGTTCCTAGCATGTTGTACGATTGTGCCTGGTATGATCGCAGCATCAATTTCCGTCTCTTTTAGCAAAGAAAGGTGGCTGAAGCGGTGCTCTAGACAAGCACAGTGTGATTCGGACTGTACTTTCTGACCTCGAGATACACAATAATAGTTTGTAACATGTTTGTAACAATGTTTGCTAGTGGCATGGAAATGCTGAGGAGTTTCATAAAAAGTCATATAGCTTTTGCTCAGGAGCGGATCCAGCCACTCATTTTAAGGGAGAAGGAGGGGGGTCGGATGAACGCATGAAGTAACACCAGAGAGAAGGGCGGGGTCCTGACTTTTTTGTTTCTAGTAGCACAAGAACTCCATTATAGCATAAGTAATGTTAATGTCTGATCACAGTGGTGATCATAGGAGGTGGATGACAAGTAGTGCAGAAGAAAGGGGGAGGGGCACTAACACAGGCATTGGGGAAAGAGGCATTGCCCCCCCCCCTTCCCGGGCCGCCCTCTGGATCCGCCACTGCTCTTGCTACGGTTGGAAATGCCAACATGATTACATCAACAGACTTCAGTAGGGAAAGGTCTGGAACGTGGCACTTTTTATTTAGCTTAACCAGCTTACTAAACTGGGTTACACCGAATGTGACACCTCTAAACACAAACACTTTCCTGTTTATTTATTTTTATGATCAAAAATGCGAGTAATGTAATAAACCTTCCAGTCATGTCTCTCACTCAGGTCAATATAGTGAAATGGAATTAAAAAAAAAGCATTCTGCGTGCAATATGTCCGAGTGATAATGATCCAGGAGGGCAGGGAGCAACAGATCAACATACGCGTCAACTTCGAGACTATGAACTCAAAACGCGGGCAGCAGTTCTCGTCACTGCACTGCTTGGAATGTCACTTATCAGCACTGTCCATTACAGCGGGCCTTATCGCAACCACATCGGTAACGCGCATTTCATCAAGCAAAGCTGGCTTATCGGCGGCGCCATCAACAGGGCTAACACTATACTAACATGCAGGCTGCGGAAGCAGCAGCGTTAGCCACCCTAGCAGCGCGCCTTGCCCTCTACGCGGCACGAAAAAAATTTTTCGAGGAAAAAGAAATACGGCGCTTAAAGGACGGGTACCGACTCAAGTAATCAACCAACTAGCCGTCGGCAAGAACTTCTCATTCTTCGATGTGCGACACTTGACCGCAAACGGCGCCTGTCCTTCGATACCGCGAGTGTCGACCCAGTCCCGCTTCCAAAGACAGCGCCTGCCAATTTACCCGCGCCTTATCCTTGGTTAATGAAAGTCAAACGGACAAGACGGGAACGGAGCGCCAGAAACGCCGTCGGCAGGCTTCGGTAGCGTAGCAGGTTGCTGTCAAGGGCATCAAGGGGCCGAGTCACGCCCTCAAATCGCCGAGTGAGGACACGTGTGGCCTCACCAGACTGCATTCGCGAGCAGGCAGGCGAACGTGCGGACAACAAAAGCGATACCTGTTGGCCTGGCGATCAACAAACAACTTGGAGTCAGGCTGAGGCCCGGTGGAATTATCAGGACAGAATCGAAGCTTGCTACAGAAACGGCGGGACGATATAATAGCGACAAGGCGCCACAGGTCGCCGGAGGACGACATCGAACGAGAAAGACGACGAAATTGAGATCGCCGATGCAAAAAAGGGGATTGCGCGGGCCGATGGCGTTTTCCACACGAGCTCGACGTAAGGCCTCGCGACAAATTAAGTGAACGTGGGACGCGTTGACAGCGCGAGGAATCAATCTTCCCGGCGCACCCTCGTAAAATGTCTTCTGTTGGCCTCGTCGTCCGTCGAAACACAGACCGAGGAACGTCGCCGCAATTTCGAAAACAAAATCCGCTGAGTAGGCGACGTTGACCACACAGGGGCGTAGCGAGAGATTTTTTTTTTTTTTTCGGGAGGTGGGGGTTTCTACCATACTTTGTATGTTAGTACGCGCGTTTGTATGCGTGCGTGTATATTCGCGGAGAGTTGAACCCCCAGGACCACACGCTAATTTAAATGGACACTAAGGTCAAATAACTACGTTAGAGTGAAAGCTCAACGTGTGAAAACATCTACAACGACAACATTATCGACAACAGTACCCTACTTACCGAGGAATTAAGGTAGATGCGCAAGAACACAAGCGCCGCAGTAGGACATTTTCAAAATGATCCCGATGACATCAGACGGACCGCCTACAATTAATCACTAGTAATCGATCTATCTGCACTAAAACAACCTTCCGTGCATCAAGATACGCAATAAAATGCTGCTTGTTCATTTCTGTTTGAGTCATGGAAAAAAGAACCGCCGGGACGTTACTATGGGAAATGGCGCGAGCGGTTCAAAATTTCAATTTTCGCGTGGTTACACGGGACAGTAATCAGTCTCTGAAATCTATCGAAAACTATTCGATTCGATGACACCAAAGATACGCAATCTCGGAAGCAGCTGTACAGAGAGAACGATTATAAGTGAAAATCTTTCAAGACGCAGTGTAAAGGTTTGAAAGTGCGCCTTTTGAATTGCTTCTTCCTTGATATAAGCGCCGTCGTTGTGTAGGCCCACAGAAAATGTTGGCGTCACCACTTACACCGCGTCTTCCGATAAGCCGAGGTCAATGACAAATGTCAACTTGCAAACCTATAGGTATATAGATAGTCCCAGACGCGAAGTGCCAGGGGGTTTTATACCACCATCACGATGGTGATGGTGCTATATATTTTGAAATATTTTAACTAAGCCTTTACAGATAGTGTTCACCTTCTTTTACATTTGGTTAGTCCTACAACACATCCCAATGGTCCAGATAAAGCATTCACACTCTGCAAGCGTTGCTGTAGAGCTTAGTTTATGACCCCGGCTTCTGAGTGTGGGCCCAGCACCGGCAGTGAAATTTATCTTATTTTATACATTTATTTCTTTTGTTCAGCAATTCGTCGTAAGGATGGTTGGTTTACAGTGTTTAATTGTCTCAGATCGGTTCGAGCTTTCGGAGACGTCGTAAAGGAGGCGAACGGGTAAATTCGGCCGGCCGGAGTTCTTTAACGTGCGTGACAACGCATAGTACACGCGTGTCTCTAGCAATGCGATCCATCGAAAATGTGACCACCGAGGCCACACTTCGATACAGTATTTCCGTCGAGTCGGCTTAGAAATGCGAACGCATTAGAAAAAAATTAAGAAAAAGAAACGGCCTTCCCCTATTTGTAGCGCAAGATACAAGATAGATGAATATGCAAAGAATAGGAGGGTCTTTGACCAGAAAATACCAGACCAGTGCGATGCGGCGCATCTAATTTTTCTTTCTTTTTTTAAACTCTTTCTCCTCTTACCACTAGGTCTTTAATTCCGATTTTCCCCTCATCCATGCACTACTGCTGAGATGTCCTCCCACCGAGAGACAGTTGCGGGGTGCACTTAGATCTTCATTTCAAAATCACTCCCCCCCCCCCCGACCAGTACGAACTTTTTGGTCCGCTCGGAAATCATCCGTTAGAGACTATAGACAAACGGGCGGACAGCGCCTTTCGTAACTTTCCCTACAATTTTCCACTGGCTTCATTGTCTCTCGGCCGCATTTGTTTCAGTTATTGTTACGCACCAAGTCCAGCGACTGCACGAAACCGCATACACGCCCCCACGACCGCAAGGTCACATTTTGTTGCCGAGAGGCACTCTCGCCGTCAGTGCAGGAAGTGTTCAAAGCGGATGTTTCGTTTTTATTTGTATTGCATTTATTTTAGAAGAGTGAGAGGGGGGAGGAAGAAGAGCTGTCTGAAGCGCATCCGCGCGCAACGCGCAGTCAGTCGTAGCGCGTCGCGTCGTCGTGAAACACTCTTCAAACCACTGCCAGGTTAAACACGAAAAAAAAAAGAAAAGTCGATTCGACAACAAAACGACCGGTGTGCCTAAATTATAAAGGCCGCAAACGCGAGTAGAGTCAGAACCACCTTAAATTAATAACGGCAGTTCTACGTGGTCGTGGTGGTGCACAAGATTTCCAGTGCGATTTTAAAATTTTTTTTCTGGCTCAACAACTCGCTTGGCGGCGGCTTCAAACGAACGCATTCCCTTCCCCGTACATGTGCAGACACACATATCCAGCCTTATTCACATCTACGTGCACCCTTTGCAAGACGCAGGCCGCAACCTTGGACCACATCATCAGGGGATAAAACAAGGACCCCCCGACTAAACCTCCTAGGACAGTCACCTTCAAGTGAGGCCTGAGAGAGAATCCTCACGACTACAAGCCTGGACTCCCAGCTCCGGACCATCAAACGCGCTGACGAGGTGGCGACCGGGCATGGCCTGATAGCCCTCGCCACTTAGGAAACCGTCAGCTGCCTTAATTAAGTTGTTTACACTACTACTACTACTACTACTACTACTACTACTACTACTACTACTACTACTCTGGCATCAACGTGCTCATTTGGCGATGCACAGTAGTACGGAGTGTTTAGCGGTGCGCCAACTGAACTGCCGAACGGCCCTCCTTGAGGAAGACAATCCTATAGCATGGCGGAAAAGCTGCTGTCAAGTCTAAATCGAGGAGGGCCGAGGGCCTGCGGTGGGCTACCCCGTGGCTACGCCACTGCCAGAATTGTGATGTCATAGTGACGTCACGATTACACAGCAAGATTATTTTTTATCACTTGAAACATTGAATCACATTGCGGTGACGCCACCGACGCCTATACGGTCAATTTTCGCAATTGATGGGTAAGCTAAAAAAAAGATCGTTTTCTTTTCTAAAAAATAAAAAATAAAACGAAAAGCCTTTTG